TAGATCTCAATAGTCAAATCACTAATCACTTACTGATAAAATTATATGTATTCAATAAATTTTATTCGAAGCTACGAATAAAAATATGAGGTAATTCATAATGAATCAGTTGAATAATTACATATTGTTTTTGCATAATTAAATTCGAATTAGTTGAAAAGATACGCTGATAATTTCATTCATGACATATTTTTGTCTCTTGCGAAAAACAAAAAACTAATTAGTTTGATATACATGTAGATTGAATTCAAACTATATACACGTTTGACGCATCTTTTTCAAAAGACTCCGTTGTATGATATTTCAATTGTTATACTTACTTTCTTGGATGCATTATTTCATACGAAAGATAATTGTACATCGAAGTTTATGAGTCATCGACAAGTTTCAATAAAAATAAGCAATCATTGTTCAAACATTTCTTGTAACTTGTCTTTCGTACATTGATAAGCATTGATGGCTTTGTCTTGTTACTCTTAATTTACTAAGACTATTCTTTGTTTTTTTTTTCTTTATGAAAAAAAGTAACTACGAATAAGTGCATATGACGCATGTGCAGAGAGTCTCAAGAGTAGCAATTTATGTAAATTAGCATGGCGTTTTCTTTCATGGGAAAAAAGATGATAGACTTTGACTAAGATATTCCTAAAATTAAAAAACTGCTTGATTAATTATTGATGTAAACGAAATTGTGAACCATACTACCATAAAAATCAAACGGTTTTGTTTAAAATGTTCTGATATTTTCTATATTTATTAGCACTAAAAAGAATTTCATCACTACTATCAAATATTAAATGAAGATAAAAAACAAGTAAGTACGATTCCGTGTGACTTTTCACCAGATCTTACAGTTGTTTCAAAAGGATACTAACATCCATACTGAGATTGAAGATTTTGATCTCGAACTACTTTCTTAAATACTGAATTGATGGACTTATGCGAATGGAAAATAAGAGAAAAGTCAAAAGGACTAGAAACTAAAACAAAGTTTTTTTATTATAC